TTACAAGGATTAGCATATCAACAACTAAAGGATAACTAACCAAGAATAAAGGTAAAAGCACACCAATATTACACCCTAATACATGCATGGCCGCAAACACATACCAAAGCTTGATATATCCACACAATCATACACACCATTTTCTTGTACATGGCCCAAAGGGCTACATAACAAGGTGTCGAAGGCTTCTGGGGGAGCAGTCCACCACAATAAGTAACTACCCAAGAACACATACAAATACATCCCAATACAAACAACATTTATTTTATGTAAATAATTCCATTAAGTCAAATACATTTGCAATTAGAAAACCACTACTGTGACACTAAAAACTACATACATATATATCCCACAAACTACCTTTCCACATACACCTAATCGTACATAATACCTACATACATATACCCACAAGCGCACATATATGTATTCCTCAATCTACAGAGCCACACATTTTCCTTTGCCATGTCATCCTTTACGTTCCCTCCCAAGTTCTCTAGTTGAAAGTCTACAATTTGTCTAAACATAATCTTAAGGCCATCAGGAAAGAAATCTTTATTGTCCATAACAATTTTCAGTCTAGTATTCCAAACAAGTTTCCTATACTCTGCCAAAATAATGAGGTTTAATTTCCCAAGAGCCTTGTTATGTAATTTGGGAACCTTGTTTAAAAGGATCGCCAGATATACATCCACATTCAAGTCACAATTAGCATCTAACAGACTTTTAACAATATTTTAAACCTTAAAAACAACGGAAACTCAAGAATTTATACGAAAATTAGAAAGAATGCTTGTCAGTTGGACTTACAGCTTGAAAGAAATACACACACACACATATCATTAATGTTGGTTTGGTTGTTGTTATTTTTTTTTACACGTCAATGATTTCTGTACAATTTAAAAAAAAAAACATTTAACAATTTCATTGCACTTTTCCGGAATGTAGAATGTTATTTCTTTACTCTTCCGCTTGAAAAACGAAGTAAATTTTTAAAATTTATTTGGCAGTTTTGGGAGGCGCGGAAACTGAACTATACAGCGCTTGGCTTCTGGACCGGGTTATGTATCTAAGACAACTATAACTGAAGATGTTATGTATCTAGGCCAACCATGGGTTCAAACCCCCCCGAAATGAAATCCCCCCCTAGGGGGGGGGGGGGGGGGAGACGGACTTAAGTGACTGAATTTTTGTTTGATTTTAGGTGAGATTTTAATACTAAACCATCATTTGCCCCAGCGCAACCAAGGGGGTTTTGAGTTTAAAACTTCCTACCAGGGGTTTTTGCAGTTAAATCCCCATCTTCTACAAAAGAAAACCAAAAAAATGCAAACGACAATCCCCCCCCCCCCCCCCAAAAAAAACAAGCAAATTGTGCACTCAAAATGTTATGAGCGTAGCTAAATGGGTTTTGATTCAGTTTTAAGTCTTAACTCCCCTCTTGTGGAGTTTAATATAAAAAATAACTCTTCAATATAAAAAAAAGCAAATTACACACTCTAAAATCTATGAGGTTTTGAGATTAGACCTCCCGTCAGCGGGGTTTGAAGCTAAAAAATACATCTTCAATGTAAAAAAAAAAAGCAAATTACGCACTCAAAATGCTATGAACGTTGCCAAAAGAGGTTTTGAGTTTAAATCCCTTTTCAGAAGGGTTTGATGCTAAAAAATTCCTCTTCAATATAAAAAAAAAGCAAATTACACACTAAAATTATTTGAGCGTAGCCAAGCCAATTGGGGGTTTTGAGTTTGAACTCTAGTTCTCCAGATGGTTTTGAGTTTCAAATCCCCCTACGGAGCGTTTTGAGGTGGAAAACCTCTATCTTCAATATTATTCTAAAGCAAACTACAGTTACCAAATTCTATGATCGTAGCTAAATGGGGTTTTGAATTTAAAAAACAACAACAAAGTCTTGAGATTTTTTTTTTAAAACCCCCAACAGATGATTTTGTCGATAAAACTTCCCTTTTCGATATAAAAACTAAAGCAAACTACAGTCACCTAATTCCAAGAGCGTATTCAAGAGAGGTTACACATTTCTACCAGTGGCGGGGCTCCATTAATAAAGTGCAGTGAATAGTCATCTGCCGAAATTGAAAAACACTAAATGTGGCTCAACAAAGATGGCTAAAACAGATTTTAGGAGTCAGTTAATGAGATCGGGTCTAAATCAAGGAAATCCTATGCCGAACTGGGAGTCGACCCCTTAGTAAGATTGTGACAAAGCGTCGCATGAGGTTCTCCGACAAAATGAACTACGCATAGTAAGAGTTACGATGACATCCTAGTACAATTTTGCGCCACACATTCATGGAGGTCCTCGGAGCAGGTGGGAAGAGGCTTCAGACATTACCAGTGACAGATTTTTGTGGAAACAGCTTAACGGCAAATGCGCCGAACGGCGCAGGAGGGTCTAAGTCAGTAAGAATAACACATTAATTTTTGAAATAAGACTTTTTAATAGCAGGAAAATGCACTGTAGATACCTCAGAATGTGCATTTTGTTGGCATTCAATACCAGAAATAGTGCTTGGCAGCGGGGCTCCGCCCCGCGCTGGGGGAGCTCCTAGCACTTCCCCAGAAACCCTAGCTAACAATGACGGGGAGTCAACAATTTTTCTACTAACTACAGGAAGAACATATTCTAAGGCACAATAAACGTGTTACGAAAGAATGAAGGGCCAGAATGTAATAAAGATTATGTACACACATACATTTTTTTTCGTGTATGGGGGGGAGAAAAAAATCCCCCCTAACCCCCCCCCCCCCCCCGAAAAAAATCCTGGCTACGCCAATGAGGCCAACTATAACTGAAGCTGTTATGTGACCTGGCCAACGGTCGCAGACTTTTACTTTCCTTATCTGAGACCACGTTTATTTTTAAAAAATGCATTAGGGTATGAGAGCTCATAACGTATCCATTAACCAATGACTAGTGAGAATATTTTCTCTTAGCGGGCAGACGTGGGCCAGGAGTTGTTCACCCTTATTTCTGTCTGAAGGTCCTTCATCGTATAAGACCCTTACAGGGTTGGGTCACACCAAGTGTATATAATGCGGCAACCTGGTATTGGCTCAACAAGTTGAGACCCATTTAGAGCAACGTAAACTTAAGGGACTTAACATTAGACCTCAAGATCAGGAATAAAAACCAGAATGCCCCCACGTGTGATCCACCAGGAATTGAACACGCAACATACAGATCGACGGTCGGGTATTTAACCATCAATCAACCCGCAAAAGAGTTGAGATTTAATGCTATCTTTTAAACTTTTTTTTTTGAGGGGCGTGGTGGCCAGGGTAAAGCGCCTAGCTTCAGATTCGAGTAGTCTTGAGTTTGGATCCCGGTGAAGACTGAGATTTTATGCTTCGGGACGTTTATGACACCGCCCCCCTGAGTCCACCCAACTCAAATGTGTACTTGACATACGTTGGAGAAGTAAAGGCAGTTGGTCGTTGTGCTGGCCACATGACACCCTCGTTAACCGTAGAAACAGCTGAGCTTTACATCATCTGCCCTCTTAGATGGCAAGGACCGAAAGAGGTACGTCTCTACCTTTTGTTTTAAATATGTTGTTTGTCAAGATTTTTAAAACATCTTTTTGTCTTAGAAGCTCAGCCAGAAGGAAATATTCCCTAAATCTTTATCACTGACGCTGTTTCACAAGGCAAGTCACTTGTTTAACTCTTTCTCTCCTAACTGATGATACCAGCGTTGATTCCACCAGAATGTGGTAAATAGTTACGGAGATAAAGAGTTAAACTTCTGTAGATGTACATTATATAAGGAGTGAGATAGAGCAAGGTCATGCAGAATATAGGTTGTTTCTTCAAGTCACAAGGGCAACAAATTAAAATTAGTCCTGGAAAAAATCCATTCCTTGCTACGGCTACGTGAACAAGCACAATAGAATAGACTCGAACATAGACCAGCATATTCATTATCAATACAAGCAGTTAAATCTAGATAAAGTTACTAAGGTCAAGAAATGCCTTGCTCCAGCGAATAGAAAAAAAAACAATGCTTTGAAATATGGTTAAAATACACGTGTATATTTATATACACATTAGAGACCCAAAGGAAAGCCATTAATGATGACACACGTAAAAGACAAAGAAAACTAAATAGACCGCCGAGCACAACGGCTTTGTTTGCATGAGATGCGGAAATATATGTAGGTCGCAATTGGGTTTGCGTATTCATGTGAAAACACTGCACTCATCCTTAACCTTTAGAATCGAAGAGATTACCAGTATATATATTTTTATATATATTTAAGGCTTGTTTTGAGTCCGAAAATTAATGAGGAATGCATATATGCATGCACCTGGCTGAATGCTAAGTCGTAACGAGACAGCTGGAGTTCACTCACGATGGCCGCGGGATACACATTTAAGACCAAAAGAAAATCTGCTGCCGAGAACAAACGCGGACGACGAAAAGAAAATCTAAATCGACCACCTGCGGACAATGGTTATGCTTGCCCTGGATGTGGCAAAATATGTAGGTCACAGCTGGGGCTGCGCAGCCAAGGAAAATTCTGTATTCCTCACTAATCTTCGGACTCGAAGACAAGCCTTCTTATTATTTATATCATGATTGTCATTTATATATAAACTATAAAACAAATTCACAACTCTCTTAATAAATATATGGGGGCATAATATTAAGCTCATCAGTTTCGAAGATCCGAGGGTTAACAACGGTGTCATGTAGCCAGCACAATGACCAACTTCTTTTACTTCCCCAATGTATGTTAGGTACTTATTTAAGTTAGATGGACTCAATCCATAAAAAAACGTCTTCGCCAGCATTCGAACTTAAGACACTCTCGGTTTGTAAGCCTAGCACTTTACCACTCAGTCAAAGCGTCTTATCTTTAGGCAGTTTGAAAACTTAAGAAATTATATTTTATAAAAATGTTTATTTTGAAAAAAAAAAAAAAAAAAAAAAAAAGAAATAAAACACAGAATAATATAATGACAATGAATTTCTCTGAATTGATTATAACACAACATGATTTGTGACAGTATAAAGTTGAGAAGCGTTTTGATCTGTGATTCAACAGTCTAGTTTATTAAGTAGATTAATATGACATGAACCAAATTAGACATATTTCATTCCACACGTCTCAACACATGAAAAGAAGAGACTGTACAAATCTGATTCTTCTTCAGTCATGGAGACATCAGCGCCATCTGTCCACCAGTACGGTACTCAAAACAAGACTCCATTTCTTCTTTACTCTGTCAGACGGTCTCGGTGCTACTCGTTGACTAGGGGACGACGTGAAAGACTCGAAGACCTATTTTGTCTATAGTCACTCAATGAATTACTCTGTATGTCGTGTCTGTGCTATTTATATGGATGTTGTTTTTTTTTTAATTGAGAAAATAGTCCTAGCAATCACAACGAATTTCCAAGAAGGATTAATAAAGTAGTCTTAGTCTTAGTGGTGGACACCAATAATTTACTTCATAAACTGAAGAGGCCTGCTATGTTAGTTCTAAATTTCGCAAGTCTAGACATTCAGGCTTGTGTCCTACTCACAATGATTTAAGCGACACAATTTTGAGACAAACTTTTTTTTTTTGCTTTTGTTCAATTTGTTTCGTAATCCGCCAAGTTTTAAATCACTGGCTAAGAATGAAGTCAGAGCAAATCACTCGCTAATTTGTCGTAGAAAATTTTCAGTTCCCTCCCCTGAATTGATTCTTCTTGGGGGTAGGGAATGTAAGTGTTTGTTTTAATGAAGGTCAGAATTTCACCCAGTTTATGATTGGGAATTTTTTCTTTGATTAAAAACACCAGGACTGGTCTTCCGGAGGAAATCGCTTCCATGTTAGCCATCTGAAAGAGAAAAAAAAACGCAATAAATTGTATTGTATAAAATAATAAATCAGCTTTACAGCTAATGAATTAATCCTATTAGCTCGACTTCAATGTTTCTTAGTAATCAATAAAGAATTGAATAAATAAAAGATGAACATAAACACTATGCGCTAAGTCTCATGTAAAAACAATTAGCTGGACTCTTAATAGAATGAAAACCAACGAGTTTAAGTCATTGATTAACATGCATGACTAGATTGGCACATGAAATGCGTAGGACGTAATTATCTCCTTTTTTTTTTTTTCCCGTTTGTTTGAAGTCACGTCTGTAATATATAAGACTAGCAACACGCACCGGCTACACCGATTTGTTCCTAGGCTTGTTATTGTTTAATTTATTTTAATTAACGGGCCACATTTTAACGATCAAATTAACATACATTTTCAGCCCGTGAATTAGTGTCTCTCTGACAATGAAATTTCACAGCCCGCTCTCTCTTTCCTGAACACCTCCTTTCTTGTCTTTTTTATATATTTTTTGTTTTTCGTTTTAATAAAAGGGCATCATTTAAGAAAATTTTCAATAACTTTATTGACGAGTCTTTCGATCCTCTATTGCAATTTTCAATTAATTAGTTCTGTCATTTCCAATTAATTAATTCTGTCACGTTCAATTAATTAGTTCTGTTATTTTCAATCTATTATTTTTGTCATTTCTAATTAATTAGTTCTGTTATTTTCAATCTATTAGTTCTGTCATTTTCAATTGTTTAGTTCTGACAATTCGAATTAGTCTTATAATTTTCAATTGTTGAATTTTCCATTTCCCATTAAAGAGTTCTGACATTTCTAATAAAAAGTTTAGTTTTTTGTCATTTCCAATTTTCAAAGAACTTTATTGCTATTATTTAAATTGTTAAAAACTGATAATGTCTCGAACTATTTAAAACTAAAACCTTAGCTGGATACTCTTCTATCCCAATGCGTGGCAAATTGGTCTTCGTATCACGCTAGTTAGTTGCTCATTTGTTTGAAGTCACTGCACTGGATGTGGCAAAAGTTGTAGGTCGCAGCTGGAGCTGAGTAGCTACTGAAAGAGCTCATTCCGCATTAATCTTCGGTGTCGAAGACAAGCCTATATAAAATTATTATGCTTAGAGTCTTAAAGTGAAGGACGAACGCTTCCCTCTTTATTAAAAAATTTTATGCTAAAAACGGAAGAGTTTACGAAATTTGATTCCGCACTGCTGAATAGTAGGAGGCTGAGTGTTATAGCACTTAACTTCCGGACCGGGGGTCCTGGGTTCGAATCCAGGTGTAGACTGGGATTTTTAATTTCGGAATCTTAGGGCGCATCTGAGTCTACCCAGATCTAATGGGTACCTGACATTAGTTGGGGAAAAAGTAAAGGCGGTTGGTCGTTGTGCTAACCACATAACACCCTCGTCAACCGTGGTCCATAGAAACAGATCATTTTCCGCCCTATACATCGCGAGGTCTGAAAGGGGAACTTTTACTTTTTTTTTTACTTTTACTGCTGAATAGTAAACAAAACGTATCTTTTACAAAGGACAGCTTATCGACAGTCCCTTTCTTTTGTACACCGGATACACCAAAATGACTAGCTATTTATATTTTTTTTTTCTGCCATGTAAAAAAAAATCAATAGTTTAACTACAGCAGCAGCTTACCTGAACTTCATAGTAACACCACTGGCTCCGGACGTATTTATTGGTCAGTACCACTAATGTTTTCCTACAAGATTTCACCGCCTGCACGATGTTGGAAGCAATGTAATTTCCCGCCACAAATTTCTGCCCGTGCATGTAGACTTTGACATGCCGTTTCTCCAGCTCTGAAAGCAAACAGTCCGAGGAGAAATGTTGAGAGACATACAGATTTTTATAAAAAGTAAGGATGTACTAATTCAAAGTTTCCCAGACTTTCTCTTTAACGGAACACTTCGCACATTCTGAGAATTGAACGGAACACTTTGGTTATTTTCTGCTTATGATTTGTTTTTCTATTTGTTTGAATAAAAAATAATAATAATTAAACCATATTATATAAGTTTGACATTTTTAGTATAAAACTATAATGAAATAGGAATATAAGCATAAGACAAAGTAAAGTTTGATCACTTTTATGATAATGAGGCTTTGAAGAGCAGAACTGCCTGGTATCAGGCACGATAAGGATAGGCCAAAATGACCTCCAATCACTGGCGGATAGGCCTACGGAAGGGGGGCGGTAGAGGCGATCACCCCCCCCCCCACTCCTCCGAGATTTTATTGGATTCTATTACGAAAGTTATAAGCTAAATATATCCACTGGCCCTTACTTTTCTACTTATAAAGTATCTTAAGCATACTTTACAGTTTTATGCTAGCCTAACAAATTTTGGGAATACTTTAATCGCCTCTATCTGTGCACCGAGCTTTCAACTGTGATGCTGTCAGTCCAAAGGAATTATGTTGCAATCTAAGCTCAATCTTTGGTTTTGTATAGGCGCATTTATCTCCCTTTTCTTTTAATAACAATACTTATGACCAGTGTTTCCAAAACTGTGTTCCGCGGAACCCTAGTGTTCCACGAGGCCTAAATATGTGTTCCACGAACAAGTTAAATATTTAAACTAGTAAACCACTAGATCTCACCAAATATAAACAAAGTGTTCCGCTAAATACTCAGAATGTGCTAAGTGCTCCGTTATGGGAAAACGTTTGGGAACCACTGCGTTAGGCTGAGATCTAAATCAATTAATTTCCTTGAATGCATTCAGTCACCCAAACTTACCAGTGGAAAGTATTTGCGCTACGAACGTCTCGTCGTTGTGGACGTAGGAGATGAACACGTCATATTCAAACTTCTGACGTCTGTCACTTTTTCTCTTCTGCTGGTAATTGAGATAAGCCACGTGGTACCAATACCTTAGACTCCAGCGGAATCTGTAGATAATCATCCCTACAATGACGCATGCCAGCACCAAGGTGGCGCCAATGATGATCAGAAATATGACCACGTTGGAGGCACATTGTCGGTTTAGAGATAGCACCGTCTCGAAGTAGCCATCGGGCATTGCCAGGATTGACCCATCGTCTTGCTTACACAAATAGCCTTGAGACTGGCTTATATTCACCCAGTTCACCATCCACTTTAGAAACTCCAAATTTGCGCAAGTGCAGTCAATTGGGTTTTTGGACAAGTCCACTTGAACCTCAATGCCATCTTTTCGAATTCTGTCTATCTGGTCAGTGACGTTCGAGAACAAACGAGAAATTTTGTTTTCGCTGAGGTTTAAATGTCTTAATTTATTCATCTTGGTAATGTCCACGTTAAATTCGGATATTTTATTTCTGCTGAGGTCAATCTCGGTCACATTGGACAGACCGTGAAAAAAATCCACATGCATTTTGTCGATAGAGTTGAATGACAGGTCCAGATAGGACAAGCTGCTCAAGTTCTCAAATAACCTTTCCTTACTGCTGCCGAAAAAATCCCCAAGCATGTTTACACTAAGGGTCAAATTTCTCAACGAGTTCAAACAACTAAAAAACATTCGATTGAAAGTTTGCACAAAACTGTTGGAAATGCTTAAATTTTCTAAGGAATCGAAATTGATTAAAGGTCCGTCAAGCTGGGGAAAGAAATTTTGGTCAAGTTTTAAAACTTTGAGGGTATTGTTTATGTCTATTTTCATTGAGGTCAGTTTATAACTGAGTCCCGCTTTGACGATCTCCAGCACTTCAAGTCTCGGCGGAATGGGAAAGGAGAAATTGGGCCCTAAACAGAGGCTGCGTTTTTTTAACAGCCGCCTTTTTGAAAGGCCGTACGGACCAACATATGGGTAGGTGGTTGGCACGTCGTAGAGGTAGTCTTCTCCATTAATGGTCAGTTTTTTAAGGCTTGTGAGAGCGGTTAAATTCTGGAGATAGGCGCCGAACTCAAATTTATTTTTACCGACGTCAAGAAAATATAGATTGGGTGGTAATTTAGTCAAAATAGTGGGTTCAACGGTTTCGATACTGTTTCCCGCCACTTTCAGTGTTCTTAGAGTCAGGGGCAAATTTTGGATTTGATTCTCCTTGACATGCTTTCCAGTGGCGTATCTAGATTCAATTGTGCTGGCATCCAGGAATTGAAGAGGCAGTTTCTGAAGACTAGCTGTGATCTGTTCGAAATGATCGATGCCCAAGTTTTCATTGTAATGTAAATCTAGAACTCTTAGGTTTGTGAGATTTGAAAACGTGTCACTATAAATACTCATTAAGTGGCAGTTACTGATGTTTAAGAAAGTGAGTGTTGGGACATTCTCAAACGTTCTGTAGTTTAAAGAGCCCATGTTACAGTAGCCATCCACGAAACCGGTCATGGATACATTTTTTAAGCTGGTCATATTTTTAAATCCGGGTCCGAATGTTTTGTTAGTTAGTCCATCCATGTAGAGAGCTTCCAGATTCGTGAGCTGGCTTAAAGCTACGTCTGGATAATTAGAATTATCTAGTGACGACTGGTTGTTTTTATTTATCCTTAGTTCGGTGAGGTTGGTTAAAGGTTGAAAGACAAGCGCTGGGAATGTTCCTTCAACCATGGAGAGGTGATTGTTGCGCAAATCTAAATGTGTCAAACTACCCAGGCCACAGAACGAAGTGTTGTATAAATGCGATATTTTGTTCCTGGCTAAACTCAAGCTCTTTAACTCTGTATAACGACAAAAGACATGCCCAGGCACTTCTTTGATACTGTTATTGCCGAGTTTTAAGCTAGTGATATTAGTATGCAGATTAGTTGGGATACAGGTCA